CTGTTGGACCACCTTTTATTCGTAAATATCACTTGATCAAAAGGCCAACAATAGATGAAGAAGACAGTGAGGATGCCGATACCCCCTATTACATGCACATTTATAAATTCTTTCTTTCTGACACTTTTAAATCTTTTATTTCAGAAATATCATGTTTTAATACACTTGCCATATCTTCTGAAATAAGGAGATTTCAATGTGGTGATTACACTTTAATACATGATCATGCAATGGATAAACAAGGTCTGGATGTAATACTTTCATGTATTGTTCATGAATGGAATATAAATTGGCAAGGTGGAACTCATTATGTGTCACAGGAAGAAGAATTATTGACTATATCTCCGAAACCCAATACTTTAAGTATCGTGGTTAGAGATGCTGTAAGCATGAGCTTTATAAAATATGTAAATAAAAAAGCATTGTTTCCTAGAAGAGAAATGTTTTTCATATTTTTAGATGAAGATGACGATGATGATGATGTATATATAGTTGAAGATGATGATGAAAAAAATGACGATGATATATGTATAGTCGAAGAAGATGATGATGAAAAAGTTGACAATGACGTTGTATGTATAGTTGATGATGATGATGACGACGAAGATAATTAAGATGGCAATAACAATAGTAATAAAGGAGATAAATAAGAAATAGCGAATAACAAACAATTAAATATAAATTTATTGTACATACAAAAAAAAAGTCTAATTAATATATGCCCCTAAACCACGTCGTTGAACCTTTACAGTAATTCTTTGTTGATTTCTTCAATTCCTTCTTTAATTTTTTCAATATCTTCAAGCTCTTTATCTAATGACATACGTTCCAATTGTAGTAAATGCCTGGGTACCTTTCTTCACCACTAGAACTTAATAAATGATCATGGTATTTGAATAGTGATGGTTAATGAGGTATAGAAATTAGAGCTAAAAATCATATATATATATATATATATATATATATAATTAGTATTAATATTTGCTTATTACTATACATCAGTTCTTCCATATCAAGGGCTTACTTCACTAGTGCTAATATTAGTTTTTTAATTAATGTAAAAATTTATTTCAAATTTATTTTAATATTTGCAAATTTTGGTTTAAATTGACAGGAAATTTAAAAAGTTTATAAAATTTATCTATACTAATTTATCTTATTATAAAATTAAAATTACTCCTTGTTTTTCTCCTCCGGGAAAAACATATTTTTTGTTTCCCAACCACTTTCACGTTCTGGTATGTAAGGTAAATGAACATTCATTGTCTGTTCTTTTTTGCTTGAAACATATATGCATAAGAACGTGGATATATAATCCTAATTGAAAAATCAAGCTAATTAATCAACTAGAATGATGGTCATGAATTTATATTCACTACCGACATTTCTGTTATGTGATCTTTTATTTTTCTGGAAAAAAAAAAATATTGATGAAGAGTTCGTAAATAAAAGGTTGGATCATATCAAAAGAAATTAAAGGAATTCAAAAGGGAAGGCTCGTCTTTTACTGAGAGAAAAGTAGTGTTGGTCTCCAAAACTATTTTGAAGAGACGAAAGTCAAAGACTAAAATTAAAAGTTATAAGTCAAAACTAAATCAAAAGTCAATAATCAAAAATCAAAACTAGTTTCGACTTGTGACGAAACCTTTTGACTTTCGCACGGTTGCGAAACTCTCTAGTTTTGGAAACCAACACTAGAGAAAAGAGAAGCAGACAAGAGAAAATCAAAAAAAGGGTCAACTCTTACATAAAGGATTGGGGTGTTACAAATTATATTAAACACAAACATAGTTGAGCACACATATAAAAAATCATATGTGCGGATTTTTCGCCGATCAATTTATGTAAATTTTTTCAATATGAAAATTCAAATTCTATCTCCTCTAGATTTGTAAAATAAACCTTTGTTTAAATTTGATATATGAACATTGCATAACACATACTTCAAAA